AGCAACTTGTGATGGTACGAGTGATCCTCCATAAGAATGAAAACCAGGGGCGCCTGGGTGGCGCAGTCGGTTAAGCGTCCAACTTCAGCCAGGTCACGATCTCGCGGTCCGTGGGTTCGAGCCCCGCGTCGGGCTCTGGGCTGACGGCTCAGAGCCTGGAGCCTGTTTCCGATTCTGTGTCTCCCTCTCTCTCTGCCCCTCCCCCGTTCATGCTCTGTCTCTCTCTGTCCCAAAAATAAATAAAAAACGTTGAAAAAAAAATTAAAAAAAAAAAGAATGAAAACCAGTTTCTCATCAGGAATTGTGGAAGCCATTATGTGCCTGGCTGACTCAGTCAGTACAGCATGTAACTCTTGATCTCCAGGTTGTGAGTTCCAGCCCCATGTTGTATGTAGAGATTACTTAAAAATAAAATCTTAAAAAAAAAAAAAAAAAGGAAGAAAGAAATTATGGAGACCAGAATGCAGTGAGATGACATATTTAAAGTGCTGAAAGGGGTGTCTGGGTGGCTCAGTCGGCTGAGCATCCAACTCTTGCTTTCAGCTCAGGTCATGATTGCAGGGTCGTGGGATGGAGCCCCACATCAGTGTGGAGGCTGCTTGGGATTCTCCTTCCCTCTCTCCCCACCTCCATCTCTGTCTCTGTCACTCTGCCCCTCTCCCCTGCTTGCTCTCTTTCTCTCTCTAAAAATAATGCTGGGAAAATAAAGTGTGTCAACTAAGAATTCCATATCTGGCAAAACTATCCTTCAGGAACGTGTGAGAAATTAAGGTATTCCCAGATTAGTAAAAGCTGAGGGAGTTCATTGCTGGTAGACCTGCCTTATAAGAAATGCTAAAGGATGGGGCACCTGGGTGGCTCAGCTGGTTGAGCGTCCGACTTCAGCAAAGGTCATGATCTCATGGTCTGTGAGTTTGAGCCCCACGTCGGGCTCCGTGCTGACAGCACAGGCCTGGAGCCTGCTTCAGATTCTGTGTCTCCCTATCTCTCTCTGCCCCTCCCCAGCTCATGCTCTGTCTCTCTCTCTCTCTGTCAAAAATAAACATTAAAAAAAAATTAAAAAAAAAAAAAAAGAAATGTTAAAGGAGGGAGTCCTTCACCATGTCAGAGGTGAGGAAATGAGACTCTGAGGCTGCCCTGGGTCTCTGCATCCATACTTCAGCCATACCCCCACCCTGTTCCCTAAAGCAGTCAGAAGATTCCATCAGACTTACAGGTCTCTGGGGAGCTGCAGGATCCTCAAGGCCCCTCGCCACATACCCCGGGTCCCAGGCCCCTCGGGAGGGTCAGGCCCTAGGCAGGACATGGTGACAGTGAGCAGAGAGCAGGCCCTGTGGAGGACAGGGTAGGATGAGATCAAATGCCTAAGGGATAGGGGTTGGGGGTGACAGGTGCCCTCCTGTCCTCACCTGCCTTCATCCCCTGCAGCTTGTAAGTACAGGTCTGAGGCAGCTCTTGAGTCGGACACCTCCACCTCACTGGCATTTTCTACCACCCTGGAGGATGGGGAGACAAGCTCAACTCCTAAGCACCTCCTAAGAGGTTCTGGGGTTCTGTCCAGCCCCCCAGAACCTCTGCATGGGGAGTCCATTGGGGTCCCAAGAGCCTGTAAGAACCATCCCCAAGGTTCCAAGCTCAGTATATCCCCTGAAAGCCTCTCATCTTCATCATCTTTTTTCTCCTGTCAGCTGCCCAGTTCTGCTCAACGAGATGCTCACATCACCCAGATGGTAATGACTGAGTGGAAGAGGTGTAGATGGATAGGGTAAGAAGAGTGAGAGGGCTGGGGATACGAGCTGCAGGGAAGATGATGAGCGGGTGTGATGAGCACAACCCCAAGTGCAGAGCTTCCCTTCTGCATGGCAGTGGGGAGAAACTTCCCACGGCTGGGTTTGGGGGTTTCAGCCCTGCCTTAAGACAAGCACCCTCAGATCCCATTGGCCCCTGGAGACTTACAAGCCCAAAGGGGACACGTCTAACACCGATAGGTTCTCTCTCCCTGGAGAGAGCAGGTCCTGAGTCCTTCCACTGGGGCTGAGCTGCAATCACACAAGCACAACACCAGTTACAAACAGCCTTTCCCAGACCTCGTCTCACAAGATCCTCCCGCTGGGGCTCCTTGAGTCAACGAGGGCACCAACATTCAGCCATTTCAGGCAGGAAATAGGAGACCTCAGAGAGGCAAGCCCACACTGGTCAGTGCAGATGAGGCTAGACTCAGTCTCTTCTGGCTGCCTGCGAGCCTCAGGCCCTTTCCACAGCACCACCATTGGTTCCCAGGGCTCCCCTCCATGCAGGGTCTCACCTGCACCAGGCTAAGGGTGCTAACCCCAGGAACAGCGCCCCTGTGGGGCAGAGTTTCCTCAAACAGCATCTGCAACAGCTAAAGTGGAGAAAGGGGTTCAGTAGGGACGGAGAAAGGATAAATCTGTCCTTCAACAGTTTCGTGACGGTGAAGTCTATGCCCGGTTCTATGCTACGTGCTTCAGACACAGGGACACAGTGTCCAAGACAGAAACAGCCCCAGCCCTCACGGTTCACAGCGAGCCAGTCAAATGAGTAGACATTTTCAATGAGACCTGCTGTTTCCTAAAACAGGGGCCTGCCTATGATGAAGTTCTGAGGCAGCTATTTTGACTTGGGGGCATTTTGACGAAGCCCTGAAAACAAAACTTTCAAGTTTATTATCGGTATTATGAAAAACTGTGAATATTAGACCTTGCTGGATATTTCATGTTTGCACACCACCCCATCTTGACCCTTACCCTATGGGCCCAATCCGCTAGGGAGGGGAAGGGAAGTTTCTCAAAGGTCTCCTGGAGGAAACAACACCTGAGCCTCATGAGACCTATGCTTGGTAGCTCCTCCAGGACTCACCTGAGGTACAAGCCGAGGTGTCTCTGTTTCCCGACCCCGAAGCAGTAGGGACACACTGTACCCTCGGGCCACCAAGCCTAGTGTGGACTGGACTCGTGCTAGCAGCTCCTGCTCAGCCTCCTGCAGGGGACACAGGCATATCCCCCAGTCACAGGTGCCCTGACCCAGCCTGCCTGAGCAATGGGCTTGGGAAACCCTTAGCACTCCAGGATCCAGACGCCTGAGGATTCCCATCCTCCTCCCGTTTCCCTACAACACCCCCTACCTGAGCAGCATCAGAGCCCAGGACTCTGTCAAAGGTGATGCATTGTTCCTGCAGGGGAAGACTGGGCTCAGCATTGTCACTCCCATCTTCCAGGGCCTCACCCGCACCCCGTCCCATTTCTACCTGAGTGTCTAGAGTCTCCGGCTGAAGCAGGCAGATGCTCTGGGGCCCCTCCAGAAGCAGTGTGGGGCAACATGTGTCCTCAGGGCCTGAGAAGGATGGACTGTATATTAACTCCCGTGCCTAAGTCCTGCCCTCAACTTTGGCCTCAGTTTCCTAACCCAGAGTACTGAGCACAGGATCAGACCCCCTGAGAGGCGGAGTGTCCTCAAAAAGCATCTGCAGCAGCTAAGGCTGTAAAATGGCCTTGGCTTCCCCTCTCCCAGGAGGGTCCCCCAGGCTGCGTTACTTCCAAGAGTGAATGTGTAAGGCCTTCTTCTCACCTGATTCTCTTCCACTCTCAACTTCTACCACCACAGTCAGCCTGGCCTGGGGGTTGTCCATGAGGGCTGGGGGCACTGAGCTGCCCTGGCCCAAACCAGCCTCTGCGCTTGCTACCTCTCCACACTCCATGGCTTCTATGCCTCTCAGATTCCCCTCAATAATTCATCTCCCTGATCTGCAGGCTCTGGGTAGGGCCTCTAAATAACAACTCATCAAAGGAGGTGATAGTCCCCTCTTTTCTGAGTGAATCAGAATGTTGCATGGGATTCTTCTTTTTTTTTTTCCCCTCTTTTGAAAAGGATCAAACACATAAACCTGCAGAGAGAAAGTATGATGAGCCTCCAAGCACCCAGCTTCGGCAATTACCAACTTATGACCAGTCTTATTTCTTCCTTTCCCCTTCCCATCCCCTATGGATTCTTTTGAAGCAAATCCTAGACACCGTCTATTTCATCTATAGCTTTTTCAGCATATATTTATGAGATAACTACCTTTTTTTAAATGACAGCTTTGTTAAGATATAGTTCATATACCATACAATTCACCCATTTAAAGTGTTTATTTCAAACATACCTTAGTATGTTTGCAGATAATGTGTAACTATCACCACACCCCATTTTAATGTTTATTTATTTCTGAGAGAGGGAGACAGAGTGTGAGCAGGGGAGGGACAGAGAGAGAGGGAGACACAAAATCTGAAGGAGGTTCCAGGCTCTGAGCTGTCAGCACAGAGCCCGACATGGGCTCAAACTCACCAACTGTGAAATCATGACCTGAGCCAAAATCGGATTCGTGGGTTTGAGTTCCGCGGTGGGCTCTGTGCCCACAGTGAGGAGCCTGCTTGGGATCCTCTCTCTCCCTCTCTCTTTGTCCCCCCCACCCCCGCTCGCACATGCACTCATGCTTTCTCTCTCTCTCTCAAAATAAACATTAAAAAAATAAAATCTTAAAAAATGTTAAAATAAAAAAATGGAATCACACTGTGTGTGTTCTTTTAGTGACTGACTTCTTTCACTTAGTGTAATGTTTTCAAGGTTCATCCATGCTGTAGCATGCATCGTTACTAACCTTCCTATGACTGAATGATGTTCCACACAGAGATGAAATGACTTCTGTCAGCAAATATGCAGAGTTTGCCCAAACTTCACAACTAAGAGCACAATTTCTATAAGATTGCCTTTACTACAGACACTAGTCATAAGCTTGGGGTCCCCAGTCCTTCTTCCCTCTGACAAGTTAGCTACATTTTCAGGTGTTCCCACTCTTCCTGCAGGTTCCATTCTTTGCTGGAATGACTTATAGAACTAAGGAAGGCATTATCCTTATTGTATCTGCAACAAATTTTCTGACACCAGCTGGGGTCCTATATTTCAATCCAATTTTGACACTAACTACCTGGAATTAGCAGCAGCTCCCACAAGTTAAAATACAAGGTCCTCATCAAGAACCGTAAGATCATGCCCTGAGCTGAAATCAAGCATTGGACACTTAACTGACTGAGCCACCTAGGTGCCCCAGATTTGGGGTTCTGATGACTGACCACCCTTCAGGCTCAGTAATTCACTAGAATGCTCACAGAACTCAACAAAGTGCTCTACTTATGATTACCTTTTTATTATAAAAGATACACATGAACAATCAGATGAAGAGGTACATAGGGCAAGGTCTGGAAGAGTTCTGAGCAAAGGAGCTCCTGTCCCTGTGGAGTCAGGGTGTGCCACCCTCCCAGCACATCAGTGTGTTCACCAACCAGGAAGCTCCCTGAGCCTCACTGTTCAGAGGGTTTGTTTTGTTTTGTTTTGGTTTGGTTTGGGTTTTTTAATTGAGATTTCATTGTGTAGGCATGTTTGATTAAATCATAGGCTATATGACTGAACTCAACTCCAGCCAATTACATGGCTGAATTTTCTGGTGCGCAGTTTCCTCCACCCTGAAGCTATCTAGGAATCCAGCCAGAAGTCACCTCATTAGCATGACAGAGAGATTCTTATCCTTCAAAAAATTCCAAAGGTTTTTGGAGCTCTTCTCCTGCAACTGGAGACAAAGACCCACTATACTCCTGAGGTGCCTGGGTGGCTCAGCTGGTTAAGGTCCATCTTCAGCTCAGGTCATGATCTCATGGTTTCTGAGTTTGAGCCCCATAGCGGGCTCTGTGCTGACAGTGCAGAGGCTGGAGCCTTTGAGTTCTGTATCTTCCTCTCTTTCTGCCCCTCCCCTGCTCACGTTCTGTCTCTCTCTCTCAAAAATGAATAAACATTAAAAAAAAAAAAAAAAAAAGACTGGAAAAGACTGGATATATTCTTTATTATATGACCAGCCACTCAATGGTTTTTCACCAAGGATCCCTTCTAGCAAAGGATCACACCTGTTTGATTATTCACATTTAGTATAGCATTTATGGAACAGATAGAACAATAAAAACATGAATACAGTAGTCTCCCCATTCTTATTTATGGAGGATATAGTCCAAGACCCCCAGTAGATGCCTGAAACCATAAATAGTTCTGAACCCTATATATAGTGTTTTTTCCTACACGTAAATATGGTGAAGTTTAATGTATAAATTAGGCACAGTAAGAGATTAACGACTACTAATAACAAAATGGAACAGTTATAACAATATGCTGTAATAAAAATCATGTGGATGTGGCAATGAATTCTTAGATATGATACCAAAAGCAAGAAAAACAAAAGAAAAAAATGAATTTAATCAAAATTAAAAACTTTTCTGCATTGGGGCGCCTGGATGGCTCAGTCGGTAAAGCATCAGACTTCATCTCAGGTCATGATCTCGTGGTTCGTGAGTTCTAGCCCTGCATCAGGCTCGGGCCCTGTGCGGACAGCTCAGAGCCTGGAGCCTGCCTCAGATCCTGTCTCCCTCTCTCTCTGCCCCTCCCCTACTTGTGCTCTGTCTCTGTCTCTCTGTCAAAAATAAATAAAAACATTAAAAAATAAAAAAAAAAACTTTTCTGCATCAAAAAACCATTATCAAAAAGTTGAAAAGACAGCCTACAAAATAAGATAAAATATTTGCAAATTATATATTTGATAATGGTCTAGGATCCAGGATATATATACAGCTCCTATAACTCAGCAATAAAAAGGCAAACAATTCAAGTAAAAAATGGGGAAAGATTTAAATAGCCAGTTCTCCAAAGAAAATATACACATGCCCGAAAAGTACAAGAAAAGATGCTCAGCACGGTGGGTGCACCATATGACATTTGCACCAACAACATTTAAGCATTCTTATTTATCCACATTCTCACCAATCGTTGTATTTCTTTTTTCTTTTTATTAAAGCCATACTAGTGGGTGTGAAGTGGTACCTCATTATGGTTTTGATTTGCATCTCCTTAAAGACCAATGATTTTGAGAATCTTTTCACAGGCTTGTTTGGCCATTTGTATACTTCTTTAGAGAAATATCTATTTAAATTCTTTGCCCAGGTTTTAATTGTTGTTTGGTTTTTTGCAATTCATCATGAATAATGATGTTGAACATCTTTTCATGTATTTGTCAGGCATGTGCATATTTTCTTTGGAGAACTGGCTATTTAAGTCTTTCCCCATTTTTTACTTGAATTGTTTGCCTTTTTGTTGCTGAGTTATAGGAGCTGTATATATATCCTGGATCCTAGACCATTATCAAATATATAATTTGCAAATATTTTATCCTATTTTGTAGGCTGTCTTTTCAACTTTTTGATAATGGTTTTTTGATGCAGAAAAGTTTTTAATTTTGATTAAATTCAGTTAATTTATTATTTTCTTTTGTTGTTCTTGCTTTTGGTATCATATCTAAGAATTCATTGCCAGATCAGAGGTCACGAGGAATAATTTCTGTGCTTTCTTCTAAGAGCTTTATAGTTTTAGTTCTTACATTTGGGTAATTGATCCATTTTGAGTTAATTTTTGTATGCGGTATGAGTTAAGGATACAAATTCATTCATCTGTATCTGGACATCCAGGTGTCCCATTGTCATTTGTTTATTTTTTAAAAAAAAAATTTTTTTCAACGTTTATTTATTTTTGGGACAGAGAGAGACAGAGCATGAACGGGAGAGGGGCAGAGAGAGAGGGAGACACAGAATCAGAAACAGGCTCCAGGCTCTGAGCCATCAGCCCAGAGCCTGACGCGGGGCTCGAACTCCCGGACCGCGAGATCGTGACCTGGCTGAAGTCGGACGCTTGACCGCGAGATCGTGACCTGGCTGAAGTCAGACGCTTAACCGACTGCGCCACCCAGGCGCCCCCCCATTGTCATTTGTTTAAAAGACTAGTCTTTCGGGGCACCTGGGTGGCTCAGTTGGTTGAGCATCCAACTTTGGCCTAGGTCATAATCTCGCTGGTCCTGAGTTCGAGCCCCACGTGGGGCTCTGTGCTGACAGCTCAGTGCCTGGAGCCTGTTTCAGATGGCTCAGTAGGTTGAGTGTCCAACTTTGGCTCGGTCATGATCTCGTGGTTCGTGGGTTCAAGCCCCATGTTGGGCTCTGTGCTGACAGCTCAGAGACTTGAGCCTGCTTCAGATTCTGTGTCTCCCTCTCTCTCTGCCTCTCCCCCACTTGCACTCTGTCTTTATCTCTCAAAAATAAATAAACATTAAAAAATAAAAAAAAAAAGACTAGTCTTTCTTCATTGAATGTTCTTGACATCCTTGTCAAAATCAGCTATCCATAGAAACATGGGTTTATTTCTGGACTCTCACTTCTCACCCATTGATCTCTGTGTTTGTTTTTATGCCAGTACCACAGTGTCTTCATTACTTTTGCTTCACAATGGGTTTTGAAATCAGGAAGTGTGAGCCCTCCAAATTTGTTCTTCTCTTACAAGATTGTTTTGTCTACATCATCTTTGGAAATTCCATATGAACTTTGGAATCACCTTGTCAATTTCTACAAAAATTCAGCTTGGATTCTTATAAGACTTTCATTGAATCTGTGGGTCAATTAAGGGAGAAGTGACATCTTAACAATATTAAGATTCATGAATAAGGTATCTTCTTTAATTTCTTTCAACAGTATTTTGTAGTTTTAGGAGTTATACGTTTGCTCTTCTTTTGTTATATTTACTCCTAAGTATTGTATTCTTTTTGATGCTATTGTAAATGAAATTTTTTAAAATTTCATT